AACTATGGGGAGAAAATTGATGGGGTTATACATAGCATCGTAAATCACTATAGGTTGAAACTTGAAACTTTTGGGTCTTTTGGATTCAACAATCATCATCTCACACCTTCCAATGGTCGCTTGTGTGTCCCTTTCTGTACACTCCCACCAACGTCAAAACCCTGGTCTTGATCCATCCCCTTGTGGCCGCGCTGGATGACATCCCTGTCAGATCATATCAGTACCCGCTGCTAATTCGACATGGCTTGGCGCCATGGCTAGATGATTTACTTTGATTTACATTGATAAAAACATATAAAAACCCATGGCACCAAGATTCTACAAGTGCCGTAGTTTACCATGGCACCTTTGAACTACTCATGGATTTCCTCCAGTAAACGGCCAGGCACAGCGGCCTGGAAATCCCGTGGAGTTTCGCTCGGCCGCAAGCCGTTTGGAGATCTACAAATGGCGGCTGTAGATCTTATGGCCTACCCTCCCTCCAACCATGGCAGTTGGACATGTCCCATAAATCTAGATTTATAGCATTTTAATGCATTTTATGGCTGGAAAAATCATCAATATCAACAATATTCAATAATCAATGAGGGGAATTTTCTAGGAAAATTCATGTTTCACTACTACCGGAGACCATCTTCGTTTTCCCCTTGTGGCTCGATCCCATTGTGGAACCACGGCACCCCAGGGGCGTCACCCCAAACTCCGTCATGGCAGTGGTGCCCACGATGATGGCTCCGGCCTCGCGGAAGAGTCGCACCATATGGTTGTCCTGGAGCCCAAAGGGACTGGTGAAAAAAAAAGACCGAGTTGTCCAGTGATTTGTTTGGGATATTTTTCCAGATGATTTGTGATTTTGTTCTCTATATTTTTCCGGATTTTGTGGCTGTGGAAGGTTTGACAGGGATCCTGTTTTTCAGACATTGTTTTTTCCCTGAATTTTAGCCTCTGGTAATTTAACAGTTCGCCGTGGAAAATCCCTATTTCCAAATATTTTGAACGGGTAAATCATTGAACTAAATGGGCCATGTTCCATAGCTATGTTGAATTGCCGGAGGGTAAAGGTTCGCAATTGAGATCTAACCTGGGGTAGAACATGATTTGGCTGGGAAACCGATCAAGACCCCTAATTTTAGGGATCCTTTTGCAGGAAATCGCATCTTGGGGATTTCCAGGGGTCATGATCAAGGCTCACAAACCATCACTGTCCTCCTCATCATCACAATAATAGCAACTCCTCTAATTACTATGACTATGACCATTGTCATCAAAGAAAACGCTCGCTCCCGCATTCCATTCATTCCATTCATTCCATTCGCCGCCATCATGAGAGCCCCTATCAAAGAGAGATGTGTTTCTTGTTTTTTCTGTACCTGAAATTTAGCAAGATCTTTCCGTCTGTGGCCTCCATGACTCCATAACTCCATGACCCTGCCATCCTTCTCTGCAGGACTATTGCGATCACTCCCTTCGGGCCACAGGGAGCCCTCCAACATGGGATAGCCACGGATGCGGAACATGTCCTTGACGGCAACCTGGGGGCTGAGAGCTGCCAGGTTGCCCCAATCGCACGAAACATAGCGGCTATAAATGAGGATCCAGACATTGGTAGATCATGTGGAAAAGTAAAACAAGCACAACTCACGTATTGATGCATTCAATCACACCTGGATTTGTTTGAAAATAGAGCGCCCCCCAAAGTTTGATGGCTTATTGTCATGTCCCCTTTAACATTTCCAGTTTCAGAGACACCCTCATTTGTTCATCTTGATGGTTATATGACTCATTGTTATACAGAATTGCATACACACACACATAAAATATATATATATAATCTCTCATCGCCTTCAGACCAAGAATGCCTCAACTTAATTGAGGGACGAGACAAAGGCACGTACCGCAAGTACATTGCACTGCAGTGCAAATAAACAAAACTAGTTACAAATATATATAGTTATAAATAAATATGTATTCCACACTTTCCCAGATCCCCATGAGATTCTCCATCTTCTGCAAGGAACGGGCACACCTTCGAAGATGCTGCGCGCTTCTCCGCTCCCAAAGCGCCGATCTGACTCCTGCGCTTGCGCCCGCACGTCCTCCTCCAGCAGCTTCACAAAGGGCCGAAACCTGGTGGTGACCGGCACAAAATGGTGAGGTTTTCAGCCACAAAGGGGGGGCAAAGCTGACCAAATCTAAAGTGAATGGTGCTGAGATTTTGGGGATATTTATATTATATTATATTATATTATATATTATATTATATTATATATTATATATTATATTATATTATATTATATATGTTATGATATGTTTTAGGAGATTTAAGCATAAAACCCTGTGATTTTAAGCTACCAATAATGGTGATCTGATGGCCATTTCTATGTGGCGCAAAAGGATGGGAAATCTATGGGACAACAGGGGTGTCACCTTCTAAAACCACCCAACAATTATTCATCTCAGTCAATAAGCTTTATTTAAGATCCTTCTAAACTTCTAAACATGTAACATCTAAACAATTACAAACATCTATATACTATAATAATCCAACAAAAACATTTCCCAAATTTTGGTGATCACCATGGCCATCATTCACCATCAACATCCATCAAGCGTGCATCTCAAATTGACATACAGTAAGTTCACTGACATCTATCATTTTGGGGCTAGATTACAACTATCAACCAATTATAACCATCAGACTGGTGGTGAAAACAACACCCACGCACATACACACACAGGAGAAAAAGAACAACACATTCAACTAGGAATGTGCCTCATGAGCACGGACATTTATAGTGGTTCGAAAAAACACACACACTCACGTTCAACTGAGCCATTGAACATAGAATTCTTTATGATTGATTGGTGGATTACATCAGTTAATTGATGTTAATTGATTCTGGGAATCCCGTTGCCAGTCATGGCACTTTTACCAACTTGTGGTGGCTAACAAAAACATCATAATTATGATGATGGGCAATGATTATTGATTATAATGATCAAGGTTTCTATTATAACAGCTATCATAGACTATTACCTATTATCTATGGCCAATTTTTGGTGGCATATAGTATTGCATTTTTTGTTATTTTCACCCATTATTATATAATGACCATGCCATAATACATCATGGTTTTCCCATGGCGTTTCCATATCCCAGTCTCTTGGGCTGCAGTTCCTTCACGCTCTGCAGCAATTTCTCCATGGCTTGCGACGGCAAAATGCGCTTCTCGCGGTATGCCCTTGCGAAGTCCTCCACGGTGACATAGGGCGTGGCAGCGCCAGAGCCGAAGCCTGGGTTTATGGCAGCTGGGATGGGGATCATGGTAAAAAGATCTGTTCCTGGCATCAACCATGATGGTCGTTGGAAAACAGCTGGGGGTCAGATCCAAGCACCATGAAGCATCATTCAATTTTGGTTTTTATCATATTTTTTTTTATGTGCTTCATGTGTGTATATCACCCCATCCGCCATCAACCACCACTTCACAGGAACCGAGTCAAGCACTGGTGGATGAAGTGATTAAAACTTTGGATGGTTCCATTTTTAGAAATATGGATCTTATATCACTTAATCAACCATGATGGTGATTTGACGACTGCAAATAAAGCATAAGAATATTAGTGCAGTATATGGGCAGCACTTCAGCTGCCTAACCGACGAAGGATGTGAGAAAAGGATCAGCATGAAGAAGGAAAACGCTACAGAGATAGAAGATAAGCAGAGGAACAACAGATAGCAAGCAGTGACATAACCAGCAACCAGCATACAGTAAATATATTTATCGCTGGAAATAATTCAGCAACCTGATGATTCAGGTTATTCGAGGATAGTTACCCTGACTAATCAACAGGTTGTGATCTTAGGATTTTGTTTGCAATGGATTGGAAAGGATGTGATGAAATTCATCCAGACTATCTGGAGTGAATTTTAGTGCCTAAACAGCTTGATCTTTTGCTGCAACTTGGGTTTGCTTAACATGGCCTGAATAAATTTGTGGCTAAACATCCCCAGTAGGTTCCGCGGAGGATTAACCAATCGATACCGGAAAATCGCCGTCTTACCAATGGGAAAATCCACAAGAACATCCCACTTTTTTCACCAAATCAATCACCCGGAATTCCCCTGAAAACCACAATTGTCCGTCACAATTTTTGGCCAGCTGCAGAATTTAAATCAGGAACCTTGCTGAATTTCTTCTTTCAAGGAACCCTTCTGCAGAATTTCCTTCGTTCCTGCCACCTTGGCAGCCTCTTCCTGCTGCTTCCTCTCCTCACTGCTGAGACGTTGCATGGGATGCCACATGGCGAAATTGCCGGGATCATGGCCTGGGCCGAAGACGGACCCCAGGGATGGAAGGGCACCCCTTTTTTTCAGGGCGCAATGAAATACCAAGAACACCATCGTTCAAACCATGTTTTGTGAGTTTTTTTTTTTGAGCTCTATCATACTTTAGAATGCAGTATGTCGGTTGTACGGGTTGTTTGCATGTTGTTTTTGCATCTGGAGCCCCTGTGATGCCCCTTGGATTGGAGGTGGGTTGTTGAGCACCTGAAAAGCCACCGTTGTTCACCTCATCTTCGTTCAACCCCGCCCCATCAGGAGGAAAAATGAACAGTTCATCCTGAGTCGGATGGTATGTTATCTATACTAATTGTGTATATATATATATGCATTCCATCATGATTTGTATGCATAAAGATATCTGTGCAAATTTGTGTAGTTTAATGAATATTCAGGATAAAACAATATATATGGGTTAGACTGAAAATAGGGCACCCACCAGTTCCAATGGGTTCTCATTTTTTTCCCTCTTAAAATGGCCTAACTCGGGGGTATCCCCTATTTTCAGACGCACCCATTCTCCATCATGATTGGATTGGTGAAGTTGTATATTCCATATTGTCCCATCATATACCCATTGCCTAGTTACATGTAGAAAAAACCAGTTATAAGAATATGGCTAAGGTCACCATTCTATAAAATATATTAAAATATGGCTGCCACTTTTGCCTCCACCATCCTTAAGCCCCCTTGAGTTCCCATGGTCAGCAGCAATTCGCCGTGGCACTGGCTTGCAGGGCCAAGTCCTGGAGCAAGGCGGAGCCGTTGGTTTCCTGACTCAGCAGCACGCGCCGGATCAGCGGACCCAAGGGACTGTCTGCCTGCAGGGGAGATGCGAAGAGAAAAGGTGGGTTGATCATGAAACCAAAGTTACCAAAGAACAACAAATCATCTAAAATTAAGATGCTCTAGAAATATCGGAAATAAGTAGTTTGAATGTTCATGAGTTGGGAGTTCGAAATTCATTTTCGCAACCGAGAGGCTATGAGCAAGCCAGAGATTTAGGGGGATTGGGGCAAGAAACAAAAAAAACGCTGAAGCAAATGGGAGGTCACCAAAAGCCATGACAGGACTCGCAGCGTTGTTCCTGCCGCCGCTGGAGTCACAATGTCTTGGATGTCATACTTCGGATCTCCTGGATGGGAATTTGCATCAGCCATGGGAGGTTCACTACAGGATTTCAACAAAAAATCCTAGAGACAATCCAAAAGCACAAATTTTGGCACTGTTCAAAAAGCTCAGATATCATAAGTGGCATATAATCTGGGTACGGTAAATTATAATGTTTCACTCACCTGAATTAAGGCCATTTGGGGATGATTTCCCTTATAATTTACCCAGATATAATGCACTTAAGCTATAGCCATCTAAAAAACATCCATTTCCCAATCATTGCCTGCCGTGCCAGCACCCGTACCCTGCAATGTTGATCCACTGTTGAGTGGGTGGATCATCCTTTTGCCCATAAAAAAGAGCAGTGTAGATCGATGATTTTATGAGACAAACGTTTATTTATATAGTAATGTTCACAAACTGGGAAAAATCTTGCTTTTTAATTCCCTGGATATTGCTGGCCATTGCTGATATCACATTCAACCACTCACCTACTATAAATTAATTGAATAGTGAAAGAAAATAATCTATTGGTAAATTGGCAAATTGTTTCTTATGTTGATGTCATATATTTCTGACGGAGGACCCAATTTCATCATATTTCATCCACCATCTGTAATTAACTATATATATATATTATATATTATATATACTATATTATGGATATCTCTCTCTGTCTCTCTCCATCACTGATCCATATACTCCCCCAACCCCTTGGCCAATGCAGCCCCGGCGGTCCCAACTTCTGACTCCGCTTGGGCGGTGGTGGCCGTGCCAGCGAGGAGCTTCGACAGAGCGCCAGCAGCGCTCCCAGCAACGCCGAGCCCAACGCGGTCACACCCAAGGCGATGTCACACCACATGGCCATGGCGCGATGGGAGCCAGGCCCAGCTGCGGGAAGCTGAGGTCAGCCATTAAACAGCCAAACAACAAACAGATGGATCTTGGCTTCTAATGATCTAATGATAACTAATGGATAACTAATGGATAACTAATGATAACTAATGATAACTAATGGATCTTGGCTTCAGGAATCACAGCTGCACCGTGGCCCCGCAGCCCTTTGATGTCCCTTTCCCTGCCTGTCGACCATCGATATCGCTGTCCCTGGTCCGGGACTCCAATGAGGATGCCAAAAAGACCTGAAACCTTTATATTTCGACTGCATTTTTTCCCTTCAATCAAGTCATTAATAGATATGGATAGATATGGCATTACATTCCCCACTAGTAATCTTTCTTGATATGTATAGCTGTGTGTTTATCATCATGCCAATGCATGTGTTTGTGCTCTCATTAACTTGTGTATGTGTATAAATGCGCACAGATAGTCATAGAGATAAAATGAGATAGAGCTTTGTGCCGGCACCCGATGCGCACGATAATTGTTCCTGTCACTGTTGTTGGAATTCTACAAGGTATGACTTCCAGTGCCAATCTTCATTTGCTTCGATACAAGAAGTTGCCATGGCGCTGCCTGCTCTTTGGGTCGACCTCACGATGTGACCTTGGAGGGGCAAGTCGTGTCCAACTCCCACAGTCCCAGAGGCAAGCCGCATCACGGGTCAGATTCGCCATAAGTCATCATAACTCACATGCAACAAATGGATTGGTACTGATTTGGATCGATGATTTACCTATTGAATATCTCCATGGAAACGATCAATGGCAAACTGCTCGATTCCCAGAGAATATGGCAACATCGGGATTTGTTTCGGGGGGGAATCGTTGACCAATCTGGATTTGAGATATATGACATATGATTTTATGATTTCGTCAAGAAACATCTAAAATATAAAATCTTCGGGATTGCCCTGGACGTTTTCTAGAAATCTGGGGATCTTGGTGAATCCTGGTGACCTCGAAAACCGCTGCCAAGCGTCCATCGGGCAACGGCCACGCGTCGCTGCAGGCTGGATTTGGGATCTTCAGGATCATCGCCTGCACCTGACGTGGACGTCTTCCAGGGGATTTGTTTCAGTGGGGTTAACCAGCACTCATGGGGATGCAATGACTTATATTATGGATTTATGATTTATGTGTATATATATATATGCATCAAATTATGTAAATTATGGGAATAATAGTCTTGGAGTATCATGGGATAATAAGTTAAAAGAACAAAAAGTTGGTGTTGACTCCTGTTGATGATTCTATGTGATCATACGTACTATGCAACATAGTGGTGGCTGTGAATCTTAAAAATACAATCTGTTCATGTGTAACATGAGTATGGGAAACCACCATTGAAAATTAGGCAAATCAGGTGAATCATCGAACTAAATCAGCCATTGTTCCCCACCTGCCAGGTGAGGGTTGTTAGATTTTATCAGAGCTGTTCTCCTCCTCCTCCTCCTCCTCCTCCTCCTCCTCGTTCTCCTCCTCCTCCCCCTCTAGTTTCTCCTCGACCATATCTGCATCAACTTCCACCTCCACTTCCGCCTTGCCAACTCTTCGCCAAGCTCTTTGCCAACTCTCTTCGCCAAGCTCTTTGCCAACTTCCCAGCTCAGTGTGCACTGGGACCTCAACCTGGGACCTGCCCAGCTCAGTGTGCACCGCTGGACCTCAACCAGGGACCGTCTCAGCTCAGTGTGCACCGCTGGACCTCAACCTGGGACCTGCCCAGCCCAGTGTGCACCGCTGGACCTCAACCTGGGATTTGCCCAGCGCAGTGTGCACCGCTGGACCTCAACCGGGGACCGCCCCAGCTCAGTGTGCACTGCTGGACCTCAACGGGCAGATAGAATGCCAGAAGATATGCCAGATAGAATGTCAGATGGAATGCCAGAAGATATGCCAGATAAAATTCCATGAGATATGCCAAATAGAATGCCAGAAGATATGCCAGATAGAATGCCAGAAGATATACCAGATAGAATGCCAGAAGATATGCCAGATAGAATGCGCGAAGGTATGCCAAATAGAATGCCAGATAAAATATCAGATAGACTGCCACAAGATATGCCAGATAGAATCCCAGAAGATTTGCCAGATAATATGCCAGAAGATATGCCAGATAGAATGCCAGATAGAATGCCAGAAGATATGCCAGAACATCTGCCAGAAGATATGTCAGATAGAATGCCAGAAGACATGCCAGAAGATATGCCAGATAGAATGCCGGATCGAATGCCAGAAGATATGTCAGATAGAATGCCAGAAGATTTGCCACTAACAAATCGATAAATGTCATGTTGGGGATCACTCGAAGTAAAGTAATTCATATTTTTAATTACTGGGTGGTAAACCCAAGGAGTCAACACTGGAAAAACAGTTTTTCACTGCTGGAAAAAAAGTTTCAACCTCCCTCCGGACACTGGAAAAAACTTACGGCACTCGAAAAAAAACAACAACTTAAAACTCCCGGGACAAAACAGGGGGCTGGTAAAATCTCCAGAATATCATGGTGAGCGCCCAATTTCTGATCTTTTCGCAGCGCAGCCACGTCCCTGGGGGCCCACCTTCCACTTCCAGCAGCTGCTGCGCTGTGGTGACGGCCTGCTGTGCCCGGCGCATGGCGCTGGCAGACTCCTGGAAGGCCGCCTGGAGCGGCTGGTGATTGATGTTCCATATTGTTAGTTGATTTACAAAGTTTACATACTCATATTTCAACAATAATAAATAATAAACTAAACAGCCCATTTTCTTTGTTGATTTACCTAATATTGGTGATTTTCCATGGTATGTTAGTCATGAGAAATGGTGGTTTAACCATGCGGAACGGTGACGAAGTGACTTAGATAACCTTGAAAAAATGGTGATTTCACGATGACAAAATGGTGACTTAACGATTAAACTGCGGTGTTGCGTGGTGAGAACTGCCCTTCATTGCCGCGTGAGGAGATGTGGGGATGGGGATGGCTTTGGGGGTAGGGGATGCAGGTGGTGGGTAGTTGGGGGTGAATTTAGGTGAGATTACTATAGATGGCTTAACTTCTGTTTCATGAGATTACAGTACCTTTTTAGGGAGATTTCTGGGTTTATGGGTATGGAGTTTTGGGATGGGGAATGGTGTCATGTGAAATCCAAAGCCGTGACGAAGGAATTGCTGAACTGTCATTCTGCTTGGGGTGGAGATGTAATTAGTCATGTGAAATTCTTAACTATCTTAACTTCTAATCCCATCCCCCGTTCATATTAAACACCACCATTCTTTTTCTGCATGCCCACCGGTGCCTCACGAGCAGCCTAATGGAGCAATTGGTGCAACCGATTGATTGCGGAATCAAAGCGAGATTATCCGACTCATCGCGAATCGAAAACAGAGAATGAGAACCGAAATCACGCTGAAGATTCTTGAGGGACAAAGTGGCCAAAAGAAACCATGCTCTTGAAGGGATGGAGAAACAGAACATCCCATAAAAATCTTCGTAAACACCACCAAACACCCCCATTCCATATTCTATGGTCCGAAGTAGTTATGTGGTTTCATTCCCTACATGCACCATAGTTTCATTATGTATCATTATGTGGGTGTTTATTCAGTGAACTTTGGGATTCTTTCTGACCGGTCGCAAAGTGTCCTGACTGGAACCGATGGAGCCGATCGCCTCTCCTTTCTGCTCGTTGATCAAAAACCTCGGCGCCATGGATTTCATGTCCTTATTTCTGGGGATCTGGAAAAATATTGTGAAAGAGATTGAAAGAGCAACAGCTGGTGGGCCATGTTCCTCAGGTAATATATATATATATATGCTTCTCTCACATCAACCCGCTATCACTAGGGCCACGAGGCCCTGGATTCCAAGTTCAGCCCAGGTCGCAATAGAGCAGCTGGCGTCACCTCAAACTTTCGCTCCCTACATGGGACCACAGCACAGGTTCAGGGTTTCTGGATTCGTGATTTTTTACGAGGGATTCATTCAGCTTGTTGGCAAAACAGGCAGTCTAAATCTTCATGCGGGACCCCTACTGAGAAGGAAACCATCTCACTTGTGCTTTTAATATGTACCAATCATATGCAGTGAATCTTTGGAACAGGCCATCACTCTGTCTTCCTAGACCCCCAAACCACCAGAAATAAATGGCAAGCCAATGCCATAAACCTACCATGACCGGGGATGCTTTATACAATCCACAGTGATTCAAAATGGTGATGACTTGGGGATGGTTTCTTAGAGTTATCCCATGATTATCCCATGATTATCCCATGACTATCCCATGATTATCCCACGATTATCCCACTATCATCCCACTATGTCCCCAAATCCCTATATCCCTATATTACACCATTATATACCATTATAGTCACTATAGTCATTATTATCCCATCAAAGCATCCCACTATGATCCCACTATTATCCCTATTTTACCCATTCATGGTCATACCACATCACCATTCCATACATCACTGAGATATGCATCGTGGCCTCTGCATTGGTTGCCCAGCTGGGGCTGGTGTATCGCGTCCAGGTGCGGCTCTGACGGGCCTTGGGTTAACTTGGCGGATGATTGAATGATGATATTATATATATATATATATATCTGGATCTTATTTATATACATATATATATATATTTATTTATTTATTTATTTATTTAATATATACATATGAAGGTTTCCTGAAATAGGGGTACCCCCAAATCATCCACTTTAAAATTTCATTTTCCATTATAAACCATCCATTTGGGGGTACCCCATTCATGGATATAGGAACCCCAAAAATTACTTTACTTCGTGTGATCCCCACCATGACATTTATACATTTTGTTACTGGCAAATCTTCTGGCATTCTATCTGACATTTTATATCATTTTATCTGGCATTCTATTTGGCATACCTTCGCGCATTCTATCTGGCATATCTTCTGGCATTCTATCTGGTATATCTTCTGGCATATCTTCTGGCATTCTATCTGGCATATCTTCTGGCATATTATTTGGCAAATCTTCTGGCATTCTATCTGGCAAACATTCTGGCACTTTATCTGGCATACCTTCTGGCATTCTATCTGGCATTCTATCTGGCATATCTTCTGGCATTCTACCTGGCATATGTTCTGGCATATCTTCTGGCATTCTACCTGGCATATGTTCTGGCATATCTTCCGGCATTCTATCTGGCATTCTATCTGGCATATCTTCTGGCATATTATCTGGCAAATCTTCTGGCATTCTATCTGGCAAACATTCTGGCACTTTATCTGGCATATCTTCTGGCATTCTATTTGACATTTTATCTGGCATTCTATCTGGCATACCTTCTGGCATTCTATCTGGCATATCTTCTGGCATTCTATCTGACATTCTATCTGGCATATCTTCTAGCATATCTTCTGGCATTCTATCTGACATTCCATCTGGCATATCTTCTGGCATTCTATCTGGCCGTTGAGGTCCGGCAGGGAACACTTGGCGTGGATACTCGCGGTTGAGGTCCGGCAGGGAACACTGGGCGTGGATGGTCGTGGTTGAGGTCCGGCAGGGAACACTGGGCGTGGATGGTCATGGTTGAGGTCCGGCAGGGCACACTGACGTGGATGGTCGTGGTTGAGGTCCGGCGGGAACACTGGGCGTGGATGGTCGTGGTTGAGGTCCGGCAGGGAACACTGGGCGTGGATGGTCGTGGTTGAAGCCCGGCAGGGAACACTGGGCGTGGATGGTCGTGGTTGAGGTCCGGCAGCGAACACTGTGGATCGCGAGTCGCAGTTGAGCAGGAGGACGAGGAGGACAACGAGACGAGGAGGACAACGAGAGGAGGAGGACAACGAGAGGAGGAGGACGACGAGAGGAGGAGGAGAGGAGGAGGAGGAGCAGGCAACTTAGATAAAATCTAACAACCCTCACCTGGCAGGTGGGGAAATAGGTAGAAAAGTGGGAAACCTGGAAATATGATGAAATATGAAGTAAAGATCATCCAATTCGCATCCTGGAAACACTTTTCACTTTTCGGTCTATCTGGGGGTTACCATAAATAAATATATATATATATATATATATCTGTGTGTATGTATGTATGTATGTATGTATGTATGTATGTATGTATGTATGTATGTATGTATGTATGTATGTATGTATGTATGTATGGTATGTATGTATGGTATGGTTTGGTATGTATGTATGTATGTATGTATGTATGTATGTATGTATGTATGTATGTATGTATGGTATGGTATGGTATGGTATGGTATGGTATGGTATGGTATGGTAATGTAATGTAATGTAATGTAATGCAATGTAATGCAATGTAATGCAATGTAATGCAATGTAATGCAATGTAATGCAATGTAATGCAATGTAATGCAATGCAATGTAATTATGTATGTATGTATGTATGTATATGCATATATATATATATATAATATATATGTATGTATGTGGAAGAGTATCTGATGGTTTCAACCCAGTCCAAGCATGTCACTGAACATGTGGCATCCCTTCAAATTGGGAAATGATGATCAACCAGCCAGTGGGCTGTTTGGGGTACCATAGTTTCAGACATGTTTCAGACATCCATATTAGCTCGTCAATGGGGAACACCATTCAGACTATGTTCGGTGCCCTCCCATACTGGCACCAACTGGGTTTGTCTGGAAATAGGCTACTGTAAAAAAAGAAACATGGTATACTGTACCATCTTCCCCAATAAATTCGAAATTGCCATGTAAAAGGATCAGGAGATCGCCCACTCCTGAACAAACCCATACTATCACCAACTACATCCCAATTGTTCGATGATGTTTGTTGGTCCTATTGGTCTTACCTTCAAACTATTTAATTTAGATGAGACCCAATGGTTTCGCATTCGGAAAATGATCTACATTTATGCTGGGTGTTCCATATTGATTGACAGGGTATACCCTCCGGTAAACTCACATAACTATAGAAAAACATGATTTTCATCGCTAAATCATCTAAATCTAAATGGCCCATTTTTCTTAGCAAACTGTTAGCTTACCACAGGCTATGCCCCCATTGTTACCATAAAATGGCCCAAGGGACCACCATCTCCAGTCCTTTGATTTTTAACGATTTCAGCGCCGTCACCAACGTGATGGGCGCCAGGATTTCGTTGTTGTCGACTCCTGAATGGAAAGCTGGCGGATTAATCAGACTCGGCAGCGGTTTAAGGCTGGTATTTAATGGTGATAGAGATTATAAAGGGAGAAATGGGGATATAACCAGCAATCTGGAAAAATATATGGGGAGCAAATAATGTCGATGGATGTCATGTCTTACTGTAGCTGAACCCCCGAATGTTGCTGTGCACGTGACCCCAAAAGCTGAGATACGCACGCATCCAGCAACCTGTCCTTAGCTACGCAGGCTGCAGCCAAGGATCTGCATGGTCTGTCTGCCACCCCTCAAAAAAAGAAACCCAAATACTGTACCTGAGGTTTCTAAACATGAAACAAACTCCAAGAAATGGTTCTGCAATGCTTTGAATAGGATCCTCTTGATGCAGCAAACCTAATAACCTCCATTTTTGGAGGCTTCATATCACCCACCTATTTCTGGTGATTGAGGAGTATGGCATTGGGTGTACCAGTGTACCAGCTAAATCGCCCTTCAGGCCAGGTTCCAGGCCCCTTCTTTCGTTTGAAAGGGGTATCTCTCGCTGGAGCAAACGGATAACACCAAAGTGGCTACGGCCACCTCACTGATCCTGCGGTGATGGATGAGATGGAAACCAATGGAGATTTATGGCTTTGTCGCCCCCCCTTTAAAAAAAAAAAAACGTGTTTTTGGGCTAGGAAACCATGATTGACTATGATAAACCATGATCAGCCAAGGGATTTCGGTAATTTCTGTGCATCCTATTTTCGAATGGCCATATCTCCAAAGAAAATCAGTGAAAGATAACAGCAACAATGTAACAATATATAATTAACGAAAATAGTAATCAGTAATAATCACAATAAAACAAGCCCCTTCCCATCCAGAATCCACAAGTGCCCACGGTCCCAGTGTGGCTCAAGTGGAGCTCTCGCAACGGATAAGGTTGCGAGGCAATGAGCTGAGTCAATAGGCGGATGCCCGCATCTCCCAGACCTTAAAAAATAGGCCATGGTACCTACTAGGTGAGGGGGCCCCCGGGTGATGTTGGGGAAACCTTGGGAAAATGGATTTAGAGCTGATTGATCATACAATGATACCCTAGGTCATATGGTGAATTAATAGATGAATGAGGAATTTTCATGGGTATAGCTACAACTAGATGGGTTCATGAGGGGTCTGTGTAAACTATAACAAATGAATACACATGAGGTTAGGTGACTTTATAACTTATATAGCTAACTAGGGAATATGGGAGATAGAACTATACTTAATTGGATTTATAAACCAACTTATAACTGTGGGGTCACACCTTGTGCTAGGGATGATTTGGAATAACCCCCACATGGACGCAAACGGCCAGCAGTTAGGAATGGTTCATCACCGTGAACCGGCACGACATGCTCAGTCAGTCCTACCAAGTATGTCCTGAGACTATCTGAGATGAGTATATTCTTGCGCGGCATCTCTAAAACACTGCAACCCCATTGTCATCTCCCCTCTTCACCCGAACCACGCCGGGCCCAATCATCCCAATCCACTCAGTCAGAGCCAAGGTGCCAGAATTGGAGTAGCAGCGAAAATTGTGCACACAAATGGGAGGGTTGACCTTTGGGCATGGGTCGATACCTCTGCACCTTTGGGGGACAGGGGATGTGGATGCCCAAGCTGCTTATGTCAAGTGATCAACCCGCCCTTCCCGGAACTCCCCACCACTCCCCACCTTGTGCAAACGGCACCTTAGTGCACACAGGGTTGATGGCGGGGTCAGCAAGGCTTGAGATGGTTAACTTCATGGACCTTCATGGTGCCAGCTATGGTTTCCCAATCGACCCCAAGGTGTGGCCAAAATCCAAGAGCCTTGATGAGTCCTGGATGAGTCTTGGATGACTCCTGGGTGCAGCTGGGACACAAAAAATTGAGAACCAAGGACATGCCTTCAGCACGGAGATCGCTCTTGCTCACGTTCACATCCAGATATCCACCTTGGATCACTGTTTATTGCCTGGCATCTCCCAGCTTGAGTCTCAAGCAAGGCCAGAGCGATATAGAGCCATCCCGTTACTAAATAGATAACAGTTCCGCCTTTATGAGTCTAATATTCCAGCTGGTAACATCCCAAAACATCGGAGCCGAAGCTGCATGGTTCGTCCTCCTTTCTTTTGGATAAAACCATCTCGACCAGCTCCTAGGCACGAACATCCATCGACCATCGACCATAGGCCACAAATGAAAAACGACTAGTCCTGGATGCTAAAAAGTTAAATTCGTGTTGCATTTTCCCCAATGGGCCCCAATTAATGCGAGAAAAATACACCTTGCAAGAACTACCAAGCAAAGGTTCACCTAGATTTTTCAGCAAATGGTGGGATCTTCGTTTTTTTTTTCGAATTTACGCTTCCAAGGTTCTTCATGCAGGTTGTTGGTGAGATATTTTGCCAATTGGCTACCAGCATTCCTCCATGACAGGTCCTGAAAGGGCACAGCATTGTCAGCAAATGTCATTATGGATTGCAAGGGATAAACCCAGATGAATGGGTTCTGTCTCTACCAAGAAAAAATGTGTGTATACTGTCCTCCCATGTCCTCACCCGTCACCTTTTACCTACCCCTATCCTCTCACATCCCATGCACGTCCCCATCTCTCCCCGCTGAGCCAAGCTGCAAGACACACCATGCCAGCCTGGATCACCAGCAATGGCCCAGCAGGGCCAGTACAAGGTCCGCCTCCAATCACTTGGAAGCCATGGCCGGGGTGTCCATGGTGACCATGGTGACCATGGCGAGGTTTCTACTTGACTGAATGAATAACATTAAATAACCATAAGACGGATATAGTTAGATAGATAGTTTGGATTGGAATAGAATAGAATTAGAATAGAATAGAAAAGAATAGAGTAGAATAGAATTGACTTGAATTAGAACAGAACAGAATAGAATAGAACAGAATAGAATAGAATAGAATAGAATAGAATTGGAATAGAATAGAATATAGAAAAGAATATAGAATAGAATATAGAATAGAAAATAGAAAAGAATATAGAACAGAATATAAATTTGAATACAGAAAAGAAAATAGAACAGAATAGAATATAGAAAAGAACATAGATTAGAATATAGAATAGAATTTAGATTAGAAAATAATATAGAATAGAATAGAATATAGAAAAGAATTTAGAATAGAATAGAATATAGAATAGAATAGAATGTAGAATAGAAGAGAATGTAGAATAGGAGAGAATGTAGAATAGAACAGAATAGAACTGAATTGACTTAGAATTGAATTGAATTGAATTGAACTGAATGGAATAGAAAAGAAAAGAAAAGAAAAGAATAGAATAGAATAAATAGAACAGAATAGAATAGAAAAGAAAAGAATAGAAAGAATAGAATAGATTAGGTTAGATTAGGTTAGATAAGGCAAGATTAGATTAGATTAGATAGATGGATAGATAGATGGATAGATAGATACTGCAGTACACTGCGTACATCTATATATATAATGGTTAATGGTATAACAAATGGAAATACGGTTGCGCTTGGCAACGCCAACTCCCTCCGGTGACATTCTCCAACTTATTTTGGGATTACCTCCCCATAAACGAACTGTGCAATGGAAGATTAATCTTGCAAACCGAAGATGAAGGATATTGACCCGACTCTCATGCATCAGTGCTAGTCAAACCTGGCAAAATTGCAAAGCATCGCAGAAACCATGTTTTTTTTTCGCATTTACACCTTTGTGGGACCATAGCAATAGGATGTTTTCGTGTTTTAATCTTGGGGGGATGGGATTACACACCAGCATCGGTGCCTCCACAATCGCCAGCCTCACCAGTTGGCATGCACTACCGCATGTGCAACACAACCCATTTTCCGGCGTTCACGGAGAACTATTCAAAGGAAGTTGGGAAGCAATACTTCCGTGTTACGGACAAATAGAATTGTGAGACTTGACATTGATGAAGGGCTGTGTGAGACTTGACATCACATAACAATACACCACAAAAGAATAATAGGCTATGACACAAGGTGGTGACGAAGGGCAGTGGTGACGAAGGGAAATGGTGACGAAGGGAAGTGGTGACGAAGGGAGTGTGGTGAGTTTGGGAAGCGGTGACGAAGGGAGTGTGGTGACTTTGGGAAACGGTGAGTGACGGAAATGGTGACGAAGGGAGGTGGTGACAAAGGGAGTGTGGAGACTTTGGGAAGTGGTGGCAAAGGGAGTGTGGTGACTTTCTGGCAAGCTTTGGGAAGTGGTGACCAAGGGAAGTGGTGACAAAGGGAGTGCGGTGACTTTGGCAAGTGGTGGCGAAGGGAGTGTGGTGACTTTCTGGCAAGCTTTGGGAAGTGATGACCAAGGGAAGTTGTGACAAAGGAAGTGTGGTGACTTTTGGAAGTGGTGACGAAGGGAGGTGGTGACAAAGGGGGTGCGGAGACTTTGGGAAGTGGTGGCGCAGGGGGTGACTTTGGGAAGTGGTGACTAAGGGAAGTGGTGACGAAGGGAAGTGGTGATGAAGGGAATGCTCCGAAACGCATTGTAATGGCTGCATGAATGTTGTATGGGCTTTGTTTTGGGTAGGAAGCCGGGGCACGAAATCTTGCATTTTTCCGTGTAAAGTGGCTTCGGCCGGCGATGAAAAGTACCTCGTGTGTGCAGCGGTTGCGGCTGGGGTCGTTCCGGACGTGATGGGTTCCTCCTCTGTGTTCTGCAACAAGTGGTTGTGTCCATTTATGTACGTAGTTCTATGCGTTTCTTGAATCTGTGGTTGCAGATCGCATTGGAACGGCTGCATGATTGTTGTCATCTGGTGTTGCCATGTGTGTAGATACATGCAGGTTAGCCACGTGATGCTGCAAAACGCATTGTAATGGCTGCATGAATGTTGCATGGGGCTTGTGTTGGGGAGGAAGCCGGAACACGAAACCTTGCATTTTTCAGTGTAAAGTGGCTTCGGCCGGCGATGAAAAGTACCTCGTGTGTGCAGCGGTTGCGGCTGGGGTCGTTCCGGACGTGATGGGTTCCTCCTCTGTGTTCTGCAAGAAGTGGTTGTGTCCATTTATGTACGTAGTTCTATGCGTTGCTTGAATCTGTGGTTGCAGATCGCATTGGAGTGGCTGCGTCAAGGTTGCTTGGTGCCGCGGCTGCATGCGTAATACCATCGTCTTTTGCAGCTGGGTCTCGTAAATAGTATTGAAGTGGCTGCATCAAGGCTGCGACAGTGATTTGTCAGTAGATTTTCTCAATGTTTTGGCGCTAGTAATTTTCCTTTTAAAAGTCCTTTGAAAAATTCCTTCAAAATCGCGTTTTTTTTGGCTTTGGCGCCGAGATCCCGGCTTTGGAGCTGCAATTCCTGGTGTGATTATGTACAAGAAAGCTTCTCTGTGTAAAAACTTTTTTCAACCTTTTTCTGTAAAAGCTTGCTGTGTGTAAAAGATTTTGTGTGTAAAAGCTTGCTGTGTGTAAAAGCTTCTCTGTGTAAAAGTTTCTGTGTGTGTAAACGCTTGCCATGTGTAAAGCACTGTGTGTAAGTGTTCTGTGTGTAAACGCTTGCTGTGTGTGACAGCTTGCTGGGTCTAAAAGCTTCTCTGTGTAAAAGCTTGTTGTGTGTAAAAGCTTCTGTGTGTAAAAGCTTCTCTGTTTAAAAAGCCTGCTGTGTGTAAAAGCTTCTCTGCGAAAGAACTTGCTGTGTATAAAAGCTTTCTTTGTGCAAGCTTTGTATCACAAAGTAATACTGGGACGTACTCTGTGCAAGGTTTGCAGTGCAAAGTAGTACTGGGAAGTGCTTTGCGCAAGCTCCGTAGTACAAAGTAGTACTGGGGAGTACTTTTTGCAAGCTTTGTAGTACCAAGTAGTACTGGGCGCAAGCTTTGTGTAGTACAAAGTAGTGCTGGGAAGTGGTTTGTGCAAGCTTTGTAGTACAAAGTAGTACTGGGAAGTAGTTTGTGCAAGCTTTGTAGAACAAAGTAGTACTGGGACGTGCTTTGTGTAGTACAAAGTAGTGCTGGGAAGTGCTTTGTGCAAGCTTTGTGTAGTACAAAGTAGTGCTGCGAAGTGCTTTGCGCAAGCTTTGTAGTACAAAGTAGTCCTGGGACGTGCTCTGTGCAAGCTTTGTAGTACAAAGTAATATATACTGGGAAGGGCTTTGTGCAAGCTTTGTAGTACAAAGTAGTGCTGGGAAGTAGTTTGGGCAAGCTTTGTAGTACACAGAAGTACTGGGCGCAAGCTTTGTGTAGTACAAAGTGGTGCTGGAAAGTGCTTTGTGCAAGGCTTGTAGGACAAAGTAGTACTGGGAAGCACTTCTTGCAAGCTTTGTAATACAAAGTAGTACTGGGACGTGCTTTGTGCAAGTCTTGTAGTAGGGGGTTACTTTTTGCAAGCTTTGTAGTATATACACAGTAGTACTGGGACGTGCTTTTTGCAAGTCTTGTAGTACAAAGTAGTACTGGGAAGTGCTTTGTGCAAGCTTTGTAGTGCAAAGTAGTACTGCGAAGTGCTTTGTGCAAGCTTTGTACTACAAAGTAGTACGGGGAAGTGCTTTGTGCAAGCTTTGTAGAACAAAATGCTTTGTGCAAGCTTTGTAGTACAAAGAAATACTGGGAAGGACTTTGTGCAAGCTTTGTAGCACAATGTATTTCGGAAAGGCTTCTGTATGTAGATGCATCTGTGTCTCAAGTGCCTGTGTGCAAAAACTTTCTGCGCCCAATTGTTTTTTGTGCAAGAGACTTCTCTCTGACAGGAAGAGCTTTCTGGCGTGTAGAACAGCTAAGATGAGTTGAGACGAACTTGAAGGAGATGAGAAAGGTTGATCAGTGCTCGGATGAGATGAAAACAGCTGAGAAGAACTTACTTAGATGACATGTGAGAAGAGATGGGATGAGATGAGAAGAGCTGAGATGAGGTTAGAAGAGCTCACATGATTTGAGCTGAGATGAAGTGTCGAGTGCAAAGTGCAAGTGTGAAGTGCAGGTGTGAAGTGTGAAGAGCGCAGTGTGAAGTGTGATGAAAGTGTTTGCTTGGCGTTACATTGCGCCGGATCGTGCGCAGGTCATGTTCTTGGACAGCATCTGTGCAACAGCTTCGCACAAAGCACGCACGCACGGTCCTGGCTGGCGCACGGCGCATGCAAATTCTATAGATGAAAAAGGTTTTATAGTATATCCCTAAGGCAACTT